AGTATGGAATTCTAACTGAGCATTTGTGAAGCAAAGAAAACCTTTACTAATGAACCTTCAGGGACCAGTTAGCACAGTTTGTTAAACTGGAATACTAATTAGATGTAGGCCATAGTCTATATCAACCTAAATGTTTGTTAGTTTGACCAATTATAGGTGCCCAATAAGCGTTTGTTTAAATTCAATAATTCCACGTCCAGAGGGAATATTTCTGACATGAGTGGCTGAATTGAAAAATATAGGCTATTAGTCATGAATAAATTGTGCATAAACTGGGGCATTTTAACACCACTACTGGAAGGCCAAGGTCACAGTAGTGATGGTTTACACACTACCTTTTCCTTTGCTAGGTCCCATGCAGTGATAGTTCCAAATCTGCCTAGATTATTTTGAAGCTTTTTCATGGCATGTGTAATACAATGAAAAGTACAAGAGTCTTAGAGTGAAACAGGTGGGTTATAAACCAGTCCAGGACCACCAAACTATCTGAAGACAAAGCAAGTCCTGATTTTACAGTTTTCCTTCCATTACCTCCCACTGTATCTTTCTGTAATGTATATTTCTCTCTTTCCTACCCCAAAAGTCCACTGCTTTCCATTCAGTGTATTCTCAAATATTGACTTCAAGGTTCAGACAAACAACTGTGGCCTGTTGGCTTTGATTCAACCAGCACAGAGTCCTGACTTCACAAAACCATCCCAAAATTGTTCACTTGTCTCCCAGGTGCTAGGAAATGGAAAGGCCAGCACTTAGCACTTTCTGTGACAACATAAACAAAGCTAGCTCCAATCTTGCAATTGCACCAGAGCCTGGGGCACTGCAGGGGATAGTGGGCTGGGTTAAGAGGGACTCCAGTTTGCCTTGTGGGTCATTTAAAGCAGAGACGGTGAATCACTGTTAGGACAACCTACTTTGGTATCAGGAAGAACTACATGGAGCTTAGGGCAAATTCCAAAGTGGCCACTTCAACAGTTAATATTAGATTAAGCTGCATGTGACCAAAAAATTCCCGTGGTATCTGTATCCCAGTCAGACAGAAGGGGAAACTGTAGGCCCCCTTCTTTTCCATGACAACTGCACCACTTTACATACCTAGAAGGGGAGTTGCTGGACCCTTTGGTGGTTCTATTTTTAATTTTTGGAGGAACCTCTATACTCTTTTCCACAGGGGCTGCACCAATTCATATTCCTACTGACAGTGCGCAGGGGGTCCCTTTTCTCCACATCCTTGACATTTATCTCTTGTTTTTGGTAAAAGCCATTCTAACAGGTGTCGGGTGATACCTCTTTGTGGTTTTGATTTGCATTTCCCTGACGATTAGTGAGGTTGAGCATTTTCCCATGTCCCTGTTGGCCATTTTTATGTCTTCTTTATAGAAATGCCTATTCAGATCCTTTACCCATTTTTATGGGTTATTTGTTTTTTTGCCACTGAGTTGTATGAGTTTCTTACATATTCTGAACATTAACCTTTATCTAAGTATATGGTTTGCAAAATATTTTCTCCCACTCCATAGGCTGCCTCTTTGTTTTGTTGACTGTTTACTGTGCCATGCAGAGGGCTTTCTTCTTTTAGAGAGAACTGCCAATAGTCTCATAAGTCAACCATGCTTCTAGCCCATTGGCTAGAACCCAGTGAAGTGGCCTTGCCAACATGCAAGGACGACTGAGACATACCTCTACCCAGGATGTCCGTTAAAACCAACGTTCTACTGCTAAGAAGAAAGCAGCACAGGTACTGGATTGAAATCATAGTCTCTGTTTCACTTCCTCACTGGCAATGGAACTTTGAGTAAGAGTTTTCCACTGAATATTCTTATTCTTTACATCAATACCTCCTTTGTGTGGGTTATTTTGCTTAACCCTTTTAGAATCTGACACTGTGCACCATGAGCTCCTTCCTGAAACAGTCTATGCTTCTTGTGACTTCCTTGGCATGATACTGTCTTGATTTTCCTTTAACTTCTTTGGCTATTCTCAACTTTTGTTGTTAGTATTGCCTTCTGTTCCTCTTTCTGTCCCTTAGTGTTCCAACTGTCTCTGTTCTGGGTCAACTTCATTCCTCACTTCTCACTTTACCTATTCTTCTCACTGTTCACACATGATCACATGTACTGAATACTTACTATATGCTTTGAACTATAAGCACTTTATATGTAGAATCTCACTTAATCCCATCAACAATCCCAAAGATAGGTACACTATTACTCCCATGCTTTACGTGGAGGTTTGATGTGATCTGTCCACAGTTGGGCAGTGCCAGCTTTGAATGTCAGTCCAGGATATCTAACTCTACAATATGTGAGCTTACCACTACATCTCCCCCCAGCCCCCCACCAATCAAAACAATATCAGGTCCCATGCATATGCTCAACTGCTTACTGAACAGCTCTACTTAGCTATCTCATAGGATTTCAAACTCAAGATACCCCAGAGTAAACACAAAGTTCTTTTAACAGTTATTTAGTGAGCACTTACTGCGTACCAGGTGCTATAGGTGCTGAATCTACCAAAGTAACCTAAAAGGACAATTTCTGACTTCATAAAATTCAATGTCTAGTTAGGGAGACAAACAGTAAAGCAAGCAGCATTAGTTTTTGATCAGTACTATAAAGACAAATAAGCAGGGTAAGTAGACAGAGAGAGATGGAGAGGACCATGTGGTAGGCAGAATTATGGTCCCAGAAAGACAATGACCTGGCCAACTAAACCCGGGAAACTGTGAAGATGATGCATTACATGAAAAAAGGAATTTTGCAGAATTAAGGTTAAGGATCTTGAGATGGGAGATTATCCAGGATTATATGCGCAGATCCAATAATATCACATGAGCTCTTAAAAGAGAAAGAGGAAGCAGAAGGGTGAGTCAGAGAAATATAACAGGGACAGTGGAAGAAGAGGTAGGAGAGATTCAAAGCCTGAGAGGGACTCAACCCACCACTGCTGCTATGAGGATGGAAGAAGTGGCCACAATCAAGGACTACAGCAGCCTACAGAAGCTGGAATGGCCCTCATTTTATAGCCTAGTAAGAAAGTGGGGACGTTACTACAGGCACAAGGAACTAAATTCTGCCAACAACCTGAAAGAACAGGAAACCAATTCCTCCATGAATCTCCAGAAAATAGCCCAGCTTTGCCAATACATTGATGCTCTCCTGGCAAGACCAGAACCAGCCTTCTGATCTATAGAACCATAAGCTAATAAATCTGTGTTAAGATGCTAAATTGTAGTATTTTGTTACAGAGGCAATAGAAAACTAATGAAGTTTATTTTAAGTAGGGTGGTCTTGTATGACCACTCTAAGCAGAGACCTGGACAGCTATCTGAGGGAAGAGCTTTCCTATCACAAAAGGAACAACCCAGAAGTGAGAGGAGCTTCGAATGTAGAAGGAATGACAGAGAGGCCCGTGTGGCTAGAGGGAGGGGAGAGAGCAGGAACTGAGATGGCAGGAGAGGCCAGGGGCTGGAAGCTCTGTAGGCAATGGAGCCTTGGATTTTATACTAAACATGATGAGAAGATACTCTGGCAGCAGAGGAGAGACACAAGCTGACTTATGCTTTTAAAAGACCCCCTGTGAGTACTGTAATGAGAGCGGACCAAATAGGGCAAGAGTAGAAGCAAGGAAGTCCACTTAGAAAGCATTTTTGATCATCACTTAACAATCTAAATAAGAAAATAAGACACGTTGCACTAGGGTGGAAGAGGTGAAGTAATGAGAAGGGATCACATACAAGATACATTTTAAAGTTAGAGTCCACCATATTTTCTGATAGCTTGGAAGTGGGGTGAGAAAGATAGAAGTCCGATGGGCAACTGGCACATAGTGGTGACAGTTACTGAGATGGGAAACATCACAGAATAAAGTTGGGAGGATCTGCAGTTTGGTTTTGAACATGTTGAGTTTTAGATGCCAATCAGCTGTTGAAGTCAGATAAGCAATTCTAGAACGCACTAGTCAGGTACATGAGTCTGAAGTTCAGGGACAGCTGGACTAGAGGCATGCAGTAGACAGCATAATGCACTCCTCTCCCCCCTAAAATAGCTGATATCCTAATCCTTGTATCTGTGAGTATGTTATGTTACATGGCAAGGAGAAAAAGTAACATACCAACTGACCTTAAAGTAAAGATGTATCCTGGGGGTTATCTGTGTGGCCCTTATGTAATCAAAAGGGTTCTTAAATAGGGAAGGAGGCAGAAGGCTCAGAACCAGAGAGCATCATGCAATAGGTTCCAGTGGCTGGTGCTGGCTGTAAAGGTGGTAGAAGGGACATATATTTATCGATCACCTTCTGTGTTTCAACTACTAAGCACTCACAATACAGTAAGCAAATAAAATGCATAGTCTCTGATTTTTCGGAGTTTGCGTTCTAGTGTGTGTGTATAAGGCAAGGAGAGGTCAGAAAGTAAACAAGCCGAAAATTATATAGAACAGTAACAAGTGCCAAAGTCAGAAAGGGGAAGAGGAGGGGGAGTGCGTGCGAGAGAGAAAGAAGTGTTAATTTTATACTTCCGGTGATCAGGATACCTTCTCGACTTTTGAGCGGGGACCAACAACAAATGGGGAGTCGTTATCAGACCACAGCGAAGCATGCAAGATCAGGGATTTCGTTTTCTAAATTCAACCCACAGGGTATCAGTTGCAAGATGTATGCGACTGAAGAAGTCAGACTAGCCCCTCTGAGCCTGCCTCCTAGTTGTAAACGGACAATACTACAAACTTTTGTTATAAGAAAACTCTCAGCAAGGAAATTAACACAAAGTAAGCTCTATTAGGAATTCTAACCACGGGCTGAGACTGGAAAGTAAACTGTGGGAAAGCCCATCGGCCTTCTACCACGCGCACCGCCCCCCTGCCTGGAGAGAAGTCGGTAATTGGCTACTCCACCAGTGCGTCCCGCCCCCGCCCGGGCCCTCCAGCCCAATCCCGGCCGGCCTTGCGCGGAGACAGGTTCCCAGGGGCTCGCCGAGGGGGCGGCCCCCGTGACGTTGAGGACGCGTTACGTCACGGTAGCGGAAGTCGTGGCCGCTGTTTTGAAATCAGACCGCCGGAGTCTTCTAAGCTCCTACCCTCGGCGAGGCCGGCAGCTGCCCAGGGTCAGCCGGCCACGCTGACCCCTACTCTCCGGCCCTGCTAACCTGACCTCGCAGCCGGGCCATGTCCACCCCTCCGTTAGCGGCGTCGGGGATGGCGCCCGGCCCTTTCGCCGGGCCCCAGGCTCAGCAGGCCGCCCGGGAGGTCAACACGGCATCGCTCTGCCGGATCGGGCAGGAGACGGTCCAGGATATCGTGTACCGCACCATGGAGATCTTCCAGCTCCTGAGGAACATGCAGGTGGGAAGGAGGGCGTGCGTGGAGAAAGCAGGATGCTCCTGTGAGGGAAAGGGGTGCTGGCTTGGTCGCTACGCGGGTCCCCTGGGCGTCAGCGCGGCTCCCCTCTGCACACGTCAGGCATAGGGCTGCCCCATTACATTGAGAAGTGTTCGCCAGTGACGTGTCTGTTCCCGAGAGTCTACAGTGTAAAGATGGTGTTTTCCAGACCGGATTCCTGGAAGGTTGGAACCATATTTTCTAGATTCGACCAGATTCTGTAGTTTCTAAGAAAACTCTTGTAAAACAGCTTTGTTTTGGTATCACTGACATACAGTAAAATGCATTTAGTTAAAATTTTGACATGTTTATACTTTTGAAACCATCATTCATCACTCCACAGTTTCCTCATGCCCCTTTGAAATTTTTACTTTTGGCCTTCTATGCACAGGCAATCTCTGGTTTGCGTTCTGGCACCATAAATTAGTTTTCATTTTCTAGAGTTTCATATAAATGGAATCATACACTATGTAATCTTTTTTTTTTTTAAGTCTGGTCTCACTTTTAAGGCTATCAATAAGCCAGTGTGAAATAAAATTCAAGGAGAATCCAAGAGAAGATATGAAATCTTTGGTAATTGTTTTAAAAATTAATAGATTAATATCTTAAATAATTAAGGTATGGATTAAATGACCTCTCAGAATTTAGCAAATATTTATTTTTAACCTGATGTATGAAAAGTACTTTAGTCGAATTAGTAGAGCTAATAGCTAATATTGGTCAAGTACTTTTCTTGGCCAGGTAAACTGTTAGAAGAACAGTTCTAAGAAGTATTTTTATCCTTATTTTACAGTTAAGGAAACTGAGTTTACCTTTTGCCATACATATATGTATTTTTAAGGTAGCTGAATGTATCAGTCTTTTAAGGTTCAATGTCTAAATTACGAAGTCCTTCCCAACTCCAAAATCAGGAAAAATTCTGTTTTGTTTCAATTTTTATACTTACAACGTTGATCCACCTGGAATTTATCCTAGTATAAAGTGTTAGGCATGGC